AATCAGTTTTCATGTTTGGACATGAATTGTAAATGTTAAGAACAAATGTTGTCCATTTTATCTTGATAAGATATTTTATAATTATGGTAAATTACAAAAATACCATATACAGTCTAGATATTGAGTCTTCTATCACGAGTATAGAAAATAAAATGCGTAAAACTGATAATCTAAATAATACCTAACTCTAGCACTCTAGATTGGGTCATATAAATGAAAAACGCATTTGCAAATTATATATAAATAATGTTCCTTAAGAAAGTACAAACCATTAATACACGGGTCACGTTCAAGTAATAAAGTAGAACTTTTGACTTAGAGTTGTCGGTTCATTGAGAAATATATACTTTCAATTGTACAACTTTAATTAATTTGATTTTAACAATAAAAACAAACAAACAATAAAATTTGACTTTTGAAAATAAGAAAAATTAACCAAAACTCTACAAAATAAGAAAATATAAACACTTGGGAATTTTGGAGGAAAAACGTAGTTGGGATTTATGATTTCACTTAACCCTCGCCTAATAAATCTATTCACGAGTCAATTAACAAATTATTTATTTACAATGTTAGATCCGATCTTCAAATTTTAGTTAATGATCTCTCTCAAGAGCGAAATTAACTCTAATTGATTGGTTTAACCTACTATATATCTATGTCAATTAAAACCAAACAGTCCCATTAAATTTTTGTAAAAATAGCTTAGTGGGTTACATAGGATTAGAGATATATCTCTATCCTCTACACAAATATAGGATTTCCATTGTTTGATATAAAATACACAATCTTCTCTCAAACGATGTGCAAATCACTAAACATAGCCATTCATTGGTCACATAAATGAAAATCCAAAAAATAACAATAATAAAAACAATTAAACATATGTAACTTAGCATCAAAGAATAAATATTAAAATTAATTAAAACTAGTTTAGGTTGCTACCATAAATCTCAATACAATAAATTATCCCATATTATATAAATGGTAAAAAGAAGAATATTCATAACAATATATTACAAATATGACAAAATAATTTAGAAAATACAAAATTATAGATAAAACCAATTTTTGAAGTTTGGCCTTAATTTTTCCAAATATTTCTCCACCTGTTAGTATTCTCCCTTTGCTCTTGATTTGCACCTAAAATTACAAGAAAAATCAAATGAAAAGGTAGAGATGAAAAAAAGAAAAGAAAAAGAAAAGAGATTAAAATGAAAAAGGAAGAAGACAGAAATCGACCGAAGACTCTCTTATCAAAAGACCCAATTGCTAGTTTTAAAATTAAAACCTGGCGAAATTGTATCCTTGGTCCTTGAAGTTTCAAAAAGTAACAAAAAGGTTCCCACGCCTAGGTGTTGTATCTCGGTCCAAAAACAATAAAATTGGTTTCATCTTGCAGCCAAGTCCAGCAGATAATTGCATGTCAGTCCCTTAACTTTGATTTTGTACAATTTGGTCCTCAAAATTTGAGTTTTATATCAATTTTGTCCTCCATAAATTGCAGCCTAAAGTCCTAAACTTTAGGCACTTGTGCACTTTAGTCCTCAACTTCACAATTTTGTAATCTTTTGGTCCCTTTTCACTCCCTTTCACTTTTTCCGTTTACCTTTCGGAGTTTATGACCTACAAAGGTCAAAATTACCCAATAGTGAGTTGATATCCGCTCAATTTAATAAGTAATTAGGTTTTAAAGTATTTAATAAGTGTGCAAAAACATAACTATCAATGAATATTTGAGATCAATTGATTTTGAATCATTCAACAAGTACGAATCATGCTTGCTGGGAAAGATGACTAATTCCTCTTTTCTGGAAAAAGAGAAAGAGTTGCATAAGTATTGAGTCTAACACATATTGATAGATGTGGTCACATGTCAATCATAGTCAGAGATGATTTTTCTTACTGTATTACATTATTGATGACCATTTTAGATGTCATTATGTATATTCGATGAAGTTCAAGCATAAAACACTTGAAAAAGTTCAACGAATTCAAGTTTGAAGTAGAGAAATAATTAGGTAAATATATTCCCATACCATTGTGAGATCGTGGTGGAGAATATTTAGATTATTTAAAATGGAATAGGATTCTTTCGCAATGGACTCTACCAAATATACGGTAAAAGTAACAAAAGTTGTGGTTTGGATCAATATGTTTACCAAAAAAAAAAACTAGTTCCTAACATTGTTTTTTTGGATAAGGTAAGTTCCTAACATTGTTGATTCCATACTTTTGTATTTGATAACAATGGAGTCATCACATAAGTGAAGGAATTAAGATTTCATCAATGATCCAAATGTGCGTTAAAGAGGCATTATCTCATTAAAGAGATCATACAAAGAAATGACGTAAAGAAGGAACTAATTCCCACTAATTATAATATTGCATATCAATAGATAAAGAGTTATTGCAGTATAAATATGATTATAATATAGACTCTTATAAAATTAGATACATAAATGATTTAATCTAGTGCAAGTCGAGGTTTGTAAGCCTTATGCCTTAATTTCAATCCATCTTGAACGTAAACACTTTTAATATGATTAATGCATTTTATTTCTAGTAAGATCAATTATTTATTTGAATTATTATTCTAATAATTTATACTAAATATATTCTGTAGATTCAAACTCTAGTAATTTGTTATTTAAAAGGAATTGTGATTGTAAAATACAAATTATTCGTGATCGTAAGTAATAATGAGACACGGATGTCGTTACTAAGGTTAGATCATATGTGTGGCATTTCTCGCTTTTTAAAGTGAGTAACTGATCTTAAATCTAAAAATATAGTGGCATTTAAATGAGCATGTGGATATTTTGTTAAAAATAAAAAATAAAAAAAATTGGAGATCCACTGAAGAGATTCCACATGAATAACTATTTGAGTATCAGTGATTAATCTCTAATGTTCGGTAGTAGAATTGGTCTTTTGACTTGAATTGGTTAATCTTATATGGAGACAGTTATGCATTGGTGATGTTCAATATTGCAATATCAAGAGTCGCTAATACGATATTATTCAAGCAGGTTAACAATCATATAAAGGTTGTAAATGATCAATAGATGATTCATCATCTTAGATAGTTAGAAATTGTGATAAATATATATTTAATTCACTTAAATTGATAACGAAGTGCTTGACTAAGGTGTACTCATAAGTCTTAAAAGAGTGCTTAATTTACACTGACTTAAGAGAGAGTTGAAAAATATGATCGATAATTTAAACTGATGCACATCCGTATCTCATAACTAATCCAGTCATATTGACATATGTATTATAGTTTCATGATAAATGAACAACTTTAATTTTGTCATACAACGTGATATCTTTCGTTATATGTATTTCCTGGTACATTGCTAGATATCAATTTAGGCCAATGGATGTGGACTGTTGAAAAATTAAAAGAAGGTATTTCAATTTATTGGTTCTGATTAGATTAAAATAATAATTCACGTCGTTAGAAATCGTGATCGAGAACCTAAAAGATCACACACAAAAGTAAAACTAGAAGAGTTATGTCGCTAATTAATTAATTGACAAGTATTGGGCATTGTACAATTAATTATTTGGATTATTTATTAATGAGCTAAATTAATTAATTTATGGACCAAGTTTTATTGATTAAATTAATTAAATATTGGATCGAGTTAAATTTAAGAGACATAAATACAGCTCATTATCTTGTTAACATAAGAAAAGAAAAACCCAAATTTTCTCATTCTTATTACTCGTGTAGATTTTCATTGGAGTTTGGAAAATTAGGAAAGCAGGAACAGGGAAAGAAAAACAGTCCAAACTATAAGATTTCTTCTTATAGATAGATACAAAAATCGATCCGAATTCTTTTAATATCAATTTGCACTTTTGTAATTAAAAAAAATTCAATATAATCACTACTATAAAATTTCACATTATTTTTCTTCACAGCTTTAAACATATAAATGTCTTATCATTCTCATTTTATTGATTATGCACATATATACAAATTATAAGATTAATTGTACATTATTATACAATTTGCACTTTCTAGCTGATAAAGAATAATTAAATTACAATCCATTTCAATACATATTTTAGAATTCAAACAATAACTAAATGATTATTAATATATGTCTTAATGATTGATGATAAATAATCCCCAGGAAGTATAAATCAGCTAAGTTGAGGTTTCCTTGCTGAAAGGTGATTTTAGGTCCCTAAACCTTTTTTCTTCTGAAAGCAATTTTGCAAACCTGTAAGACAAAATGAATAGGACAGTTGTTAACATGAAGATAAATGAATTATAAATGTGCAAAATAGCAGTAATTTAATTTAATTTTTTTAATGTTTATTCATACTTTTTCAGAGCATCCTCATTTGTTCCACCATTTTCAATTGGTTCAAATAGACCTGAATCTAAGTTTACCCTTGAAACTGGTTTCTTCAATAAACTTTGGCCAATTTCAACCAACTTGTTTAGGTTTTCCTTTGTTGCAACATCAACTGAGGCAGCTGCCCCAGTTAAAGTGTCCTCCTGACATGTAATTACAAAAATTGTCAGTTCTCAGAAATGTAAAAAACAAATTACAAAATAGGGGGTTTAACACAATTTAAATAAACAAATTTGTTCAGATTTAGCTTTCAGATTAGGTGAGTATATATTAGTATTAGAAGAGGCAAAGGTCATATATTGACCAGTAATCACCACCTACGTACGTGTAAGGCCTTTATTGAAGAAATAAATTTGGTGTAGATAAAACGATTTTTTGAACATGAAAATTTAATGAGTAAACTTTAGCTTGTAAATAATGTGTTTTAACGTCAATCTTACTTGAATTCTAAGGTAGTTTTCTTGAGAATGAAATGCTTGAAAAACAACGGAAATATGTAAATCCACCATATCAGCACTGGCTTGAGTGAAAACATCTACTATTGGAGAGGAACCTTCATTCAGTAACCATTCAAATATTCCCCATTTGGCTGCCTTTTGAGCACTATATTTCTTCTGTGCCTTTGACGAGCCAGTGCCCACTGAAATGACTAAAAAGCGTCCATAATCCATAGGCTTAATTGGGAAGAGATCTGGATTTCCATCCAAAATCTGTTTCGTAATTTGGTTGATGGCAACTAATGTCTGCAAAATTATAGGGTTTGAGAAATGATATGACTTTAACATTTCTGATTTCATGAGTAAAAGAAAGAAAAAATTCGACAAACAAAATAGTTCTTGTGAAAAGAAGAGAAACAAAGTTGAAAGAATTTGGCCTCATATTGGTTCATTAATTTACCAGTAGTGCTCAACATTAGATTTATTTGAATTTCGCGAACAACTTTAATTTCTGTAGAATTAAAAAAAAAGTTTAATATTTAACGAACGATTTGTTTCTGAGTGATCTTTGTGAGATTTAAGTATAATATATTGGCTGATAAAAGAAGACAAAAAATTTTGTAAATATTAGCGAGAGTTAAGAAAATGACTAGCATGGAATGGATTTCCATAACAAATTGAGATGGTTAAACAAAGTATGTACATATTCATCTCATTTATTTTATTATGTAAAATTCAATGACATTGTTCTCTGTATGTGTGTGTGTGTGTCTTTTACCGGATTATTGGCAGCAACACCACCGTCTATGAGGTTGAACTCTCGCACATAACCTTGCTTAGTCTGGTTCTTGAAATAATAAGGAGGAAGATAAGTTGGAGCTGCAGACGTGCCAATGCATATATCTGAGAGTCGAGCATCTAACGATGGCGTCCTCAAGGCCTGTATATACATATATACGGACTGAATTACATTATATTACATTCTCTGTTTAACTCAATATTACCAATGAAAAATAAAAATATATATAGATTATCAATATTCTTGTGGTAACTTGTTAATAAAATAAAGAAACAATAAAATTTTGTCATTGACATTAACAACTTCTCCGTAGATCGAAACATAATTGATGACTACCGATGACATTGTACAAGACATATTATCGTCGGTGTCATTGTGTATGTGAATGGATGATATCCAACTATATGAGTGTTAGCAATTCCATTTGAATCACTGATATGTCAGCAATTATTGCCACAATTGTTTAGTGTAATTGTTCGCTCTATTTTATATTATTATTATACTTTTTGGAAAAGACACTAAAATTTTTGTCTATGGCCCTTGAATTGATTGGGAGGCCTCTAGTAAATACTTACAATATAATGATTGGTTAGCTAGAATATTATAGTTTCAAGTTTTTGGTTGGAAATAGCTCAAAATTTTTTTTAAAAAAAAAATATTATCGCTTTAGTGTTCAGTGTTCTTGAACAGTCATAAATAATTAAGAATACAATCAAACAAATACTGTTGGAAGAAAGGAATGACGAAAAGAATGTTAGACCTGATATTTGGAGAAAATAATAGGTTGCAAATTTTCAATGTTAAATGTTGGAATGACAACATTAGTTAATGTCTCATCTAGTCGAGTGTCGCCTAGTTTCTCTCTGATAACTTTGTGAAGGTACTCTCCATCATACTTTGGTCCGACTATAGATTTCAATAGTTTTTCGATCAATCCCAGTAAGCCACTGCAATTCGAAACCAATACAAGTACATGTGCTCATCAATAAAAATATGGTCATAAAATCACTAAGATTAATATAAAATGTAACTGTTTGTTGTACTACTAAAGTATAATTTATACTTCTTTTGCGGAAAAATTCTAGAGGAGTGCTCGAGATAAAAGGGTTTGATATCTTTAGCTGCAAACAACGGACGGTTATCTTTGTTAGGAGCGGTTAACATGGCAGTTACTAGACCTCCTGTACTTGTTCCTGCAATTACATCAAAGTAATCTGCAAGTCTAACATCCTCGCCGTCTAGCACCTGGCAACAAATAACACATTCCCAGTCAGTTTTATATACATGGTTCAATGTAGAATATTATATATGCATTTTGTTGTGGAATCTTTAAAACCTCTTCCAATTTAAAATTTGGGCAACTATGCATTAGATTTGTTTTATATGTTGGTGTTTGACTCTGATTAGTTTAAAAAAAAAAAAAAATGTTAGATCATTACAAGACAACTACAGTATCAATTTGGTCAAGTGATTCGTGTGAAGAAAATATTAAATAAATAAATAATTTAAATTTTTATTTGAGATATGACTATTACCCAAACATTAAATTTGCCATGTTTTAGACAAAAATGCGATAGAACTAATTAAATAATTTTTTAAAGAAACTCATGTTTCTGCTATCTAACAAAGATAAAGTATTATTAAGGTCAGGAAAAAAAAAAAAATTTATGTGCTCTCTAACAAAGATAAAGTAGTATTAGGGTAACCGAAGATATGGCTTTGAAATCTTACTACTAACTATTTATTAAAATTGTGCAATATTCAAGATTTTGAAGAAAAAATGAATCTGGCCCTGCCCAAGGTTGGATGCGTTGAAGAGAATTTGCAAATAAAGAAATGAGTCTCTTCCCTAACAATTTGGGCTTTTGAATAAAATGCTAAAGAGTTATATTTGTCTTTTTTTTTTGGAAAAAATAAAAATATTAACAAAGCTATTTAAAAGTGAATTACCTGAAGTTGAGATTCAAGATATTCAAGGATAGTGGCAGGAATAATTCCTCTAATACCACCCCCATCAATGCTCAGAATTGTAATCAGATTTCCATAAGTTGGGGGTTGTATCTGAACTGAGGATAAAGCCTTCTTCATAATATTTATATATAAATGCCTGTGTTTAGAAACTAACTAAATAAGTTTTAAGAGAACTCTTAAGAAATTTTCTTCCTTTGCTTTTGGATAAAACTTGCGTACTTAGGGGATATATTTATAGCTTCGATCAGGGCTAATTACGTATGCGTGGGGTCAAACTTCTGAATTTGTAAAACTAATTTCGTGGAAAGCTTCAACGAAATTGTAACACATTGTAATGATTTTAATTAGGTCTTACATGGCCGAGTGATGGAATATTAGAAGAGGTATTATTATATATATATATATATATTTTTTTTTTTAAATTTTGATGTTTATTTTAGGAAACATAATTATGTTTGATTAAATAGCTTTTATTAGATATTTCTTTATAAGAATGGAATATGTAAAACCTATATAAAGGGTTCTTTTGCAATGTAATAAGATAACAGTCGATAAAGAAATTAATTGAATTTACTCCCCAATTTCTCTCTAATTTCAGTCTTTCCACCATCACATCATGTATTCCAATATCTCAATACATTCTCATGCAATCAAGTAGAGCTCAAGTTTTTGCAACCATGTTCGTGTCATGTCCACAATGATGTGCAAAACTTGCCCAGCAAACACAATGTGCATGCATCACGTATAAGTCCCCTCCACTAGCCTGTCTAGGATTCTCCATTGATGCCCCATCCACATTAAGTTTAAGAGTTATGCGATTTTATCAAAATTGTGCCAGATTAACACTTGGCAATATTTCATTGGTAATTGGAAATTGTTTTTGGGCCAACTACCAATGAAATACTGCCAAGTGTTAATCTGGCACAATTATGGTAAAATCAATCTGGTAATATAGCATAACTCTAAGTTTAGTTCCAAGCGACCAGCTGTAATTAAGAGATTGAAGTGATCTTACATTGCAGTCAAAAAGTCGTGTCATTTTGGCTATCAATCCAGCACAATGAAAGAAGGATTTAACCATCTACACAACTCCTTGGCACTGAATGATAGAGCCACCATGCGAACAGCACACCTCACAATCCAAAGAGCCCAGGTCATGACAATGGATACAACACCTCGAAGAATTTCCATTTGTGTTAAGTTAGATACAAAAGAACACCAAAACTTCATCCCATTTTTCCAAGAAGTGACCTAAGGCATACATAAATTAAAATGAAGAGCAAAGTAATCCCATACCATAGTCGCCACCTCTCCCGAACATTGAACATGATCTAATGTTTCAACAGCAGGAACCACACAACATTCACATTTTGCACATCTCTTTGTTGAGTCATTCTTAGATTTGATTGTTAAAATTACAAAAAGACAAAGACAATGGGCTCACAATAATTAAGAGGGGCGTAGCTAAGCTTCCAATTCGATTTCCCCAGAACTGTAGAAATGGCGCTAAGGAATAATAATAGATTTTTGTAAAACTTATGTCAATTTGATTAAGTTTGGCTTGAATTAGAAACTAAAAATAGGAAAATCATATTTTGGGTTTGGGTTAAATTAATAAGTGAGTAAATTTATTTTAAAAAATAATTCATTTTATTTAAGATAAAAAAAATTAGGGAGATTCAGTTTTTTAGTTCTTGGTCTAGAACTGAGAATTGAACCAAATTCGTTGGTTCTCGATTTAGACACAGGTATTTAACTTAAGAATTTGCTAATTATAGTTTTGTGGTTCTTTGTCACTCTATACTCGAAAAGAGAATAAAGTGGCCCATGAGATAATCTCTTTTGTGATTTTGGTCGATTTGCCAATTCTCTGATTGATTATATCCATCTATTTTCATCACTAACTATTTGCAGTGATCAGTATTCTAAAATGCACGCCTTATTTAGCAGTCAACAATTTCCATTGATCGCTAATTCGTACCTATATGTGATTATGCAAGCCTAGGAACGCATTATTATCCTTTTTTTTATTTTTATTTTTACAACTATTTTATTTTAAAACTTAAAAGGAACATTTTTTTTTACTTCGTCTGCTCTAAACTCAAAACAGCCGCTTGAAGCCTTAAATAAAGGAAAACTCCCAAAAATTCCCATTTATTTACCACTTAATATTTATATTTGAAACTTATCTTTTTGTTGAAAACTTTAAAAAAAAAATGTATATAAAGTTCCTATAGACCTCTTTTAGATGTTTGTGAGGTATTATTTTTAATTATTAAATTATTTTTTAATTGATTAAAAATTAAAATATGAAAATGTCTTTCTACGCCTTTTTTATGCCTATGCCTCTCTTAAACTCGCCTATTCCATAATTTAGCCTCCATGCATCATCACACATTACACGTTTTAGAACATTGACAGGGATTTAAGTTAACGCTATTCTCCTCGGGGAATCACTAGTACACGAGCGTATTGTAAGAAAATAATATTTAATAACCTCTGGAAATAGTGAGCAGAGGGAAAATGTCTGCTTCTTAATTGATATTTTCTCTAATATATATCAAATGATCTTGAACTTTAATTAAATGTTGAGTGCCTGCCATTTCTTTCACCATTTAGTATTGTAGTAAAAAGACCTTGTTAGAGCACAACTTTTTGGTAGTTCCTTTACATTGATGTATAATATGACAAAAACGTGATTATTTAGGATATATAAATTAATGAGCAATAAATCAAGATCATTACGATTCTTTCAACAAGATAAACGTTGGGAAGATAAATAAATATATAGTAGTACCTCATATGATGAAAGTTCTCTGGGAAAAAAAAATTATTTAACATTTTTAAAAAATATAATTAGAATCGTAAAGAAAAATTGCATTATGACTACATTGAATAATTATAACTCAACTTATACAAGTAGATTGTCAAAGTCATCATAAACCCCCAACTTGCTTAAGAAAAAGAAGGGGGGCGGGGGGGGGGGCAACTTGTTTGGGGGGGGGGGGGGGGGGGGGGGGGGGGATGCAAGGCGCCAGCAATCAGCAATCTCAGCATGGTTAAATTATATTAGGTCAACTATGTATCCTACGTTCAGAAGAAAGTGTACGTATTATGTTTTCTTTAAAATATTCATTTTTGCATATTTTTCTTAAATGATAATTTATTATATTTATTTTTAGAATTTTTGTAAATTTAATTTGTTTATCTTCTGGTCAAGAAAATGTGTGTCCTCATTTTTTTCACCAACTAAACTTCCAGTCAAAATCTCATTAATTATAATGTTGCGATTCTCGCTATATACTCGAGTTCGGAATGAAGTGTCCAATGAGCTAACCAATTTTGTAATTTTGCTCCATTTGCTAGTCCTTGGATTGAGAGTATCTATCGATTTTCGTCATCAGCTGTTCGCAAAGATTCAAGTTAATGTATTTCTCCTCCCTAAATCATTAGTTCAAGTGCGTATTATAAGAAAATGAAATTTTGAAACCTAATTTTCTCCTCTGGGAATCACTAGCAGAGAGAAAATCTCCGCCCCTTAATTGATTTTTCTGTAATAATATATCCAATGATCTTGAACTTTTATTATAAGTTGAGTGCCCGCAATTTCTTTCACCATTTAATATTGTAATGAAAAGACCAATTTTGAGGTGGTCCTTCTAAACAGATATATAAAATGACAAAAACGTGGTTATCTAACATAAGTAAATTAACGAGCAATAGACCTAGATTATTACGAATCTTACAACCAGTTAAAACGTTTTGTGGGAAAGAACAAAATATATGTGTGTAAACATATATTAGTACCTCAAATGATGATATTTTGTACTCAGCTTTAAAATCAACTTATAAATGTAGATTGCCTAAGTTTTCAAAGGCCCACATAATTGAATGCCCACAAGTCAATTATTATTTTAAAAATAGGATACACGAGATATTTACAATTTACCATCCTTCTCAAAATATTTAGTTTGGTGACTTCACAAAGTTAACTTAATGCAGCCATCAAGAGGTCATCTTGATCGACGATTGTAATTCTTAAAAGATGACTACCTTGATATTAATTGTTATAGTACATTATTCATTTGCTATATAAACGATGAAGTGTTTTTAGATATTAATTAATAAATTTAAGAGAAAATTGCAGCAGTGGTCCCTATCATTTTCATTTTTTGCAGACTTTACCCTAACATTCATTTTGTACCGGTGGCGGTTCCTAATCTTTTATAAATATGCACCTGAACCCCATATGGACGGAAATCATCCGCAACACAGTCCGTTGATCGAGAAAATTAAGGAATCAACATCCAACAAAATCGTCCAAAAACACTGTCCAAAAAGGTACAACATCCAATAAACTCGTATCGGTAACAGATAGTTCAAGGAATTTTCCTAGACAACTGACATTGTTTTGGATGGTTTCCATCTAGATGGACTCAGGTGTATGTTTAAGAAAGGTTAGAGACCTTCATTGGCACAAAATGAAAATTAGGGTAAATTTTGCAAAAATGAAAAGATTAGGGACCGCTGCTGCAATTTTCTTTAAATTTAATATTGAATTTTTTTTTGTAGATATTGATCGAGAAATTTAATATTCACTTCGTGATGCCAGATACAATAAGGAAATTATAGAA